CCAGAATTGAGTATGGTGATGGTTACATATATCTATGAATATAGTAAAAGACACTGAATTATCTGAAATGAATTATATGGTTTATTAGTTAAATTTCCATTGCCATCTCAGAATATGAGACTCTGGGTACTTTATAAGGAAAAGAATTTTATTTGGCTCACAGTTTTGGAGGTCCAAGAATATGGTGCCAGCATCTGCTCAGCTCTGAGGAGATAGGTCCCTCTGGCTAAGCCACCACGTGGTGGAGGAACGAAGAGGATCTACAGCATACAGAAGGGGCTATGCTCACAGGGAGGCATCACTTTATAACAAACAACTCCCACAAAATAGGCGTAATCCCTTCAAGAGGTGGTAGATTATCACCTTCCCAGGCCTGACCTTTTGCTGCTTTCATTTCTCAACACTACTGAGCTGGACATCAAGCTTCCAACACATGAGTCTTTGGGGGAAATACTTAAACCATAGCAAAGCACAGAATATGGTATGTAAACTACATCTCAATAAAACTGCTTTAAAAAAAGAGAAACGACCAGGTGCTGTGGCACATTCCTGTAATCCCAGTGACTCCAGAGGCTGAGGAAGCATGATCATGAGACCAGCCTCAGCAACTTGGTAAGACTCCACTCAAAGTAAAAAGGATTAGACTTATAGCTCAATGGTAAAACACTGGGTTCAATCCTCAAAAAGAAAAAAATAAGAAAGTCCCCTTAACAACAACAAACAACTCCCCCAAACCAATATGAAAATATTCTCAAACTGACTCAGAATTGAAGTAATTAACTCGAAAACAAGACAACTGGCTATATGGTGGCATATGCCTGTAGTGTCAGTGACTCAGGAGGCTGAGGCAGAAGGATCCCAAGTTCAAAGCCAGTCTCCACAAATCAGCAAGGCCCTAAGCAACTTAGTGACACCCTGTCTCAAAATAAAGAATAAAAAGGGCTGGGATGCTGCTTAGCGATAATGCACCCTTGGGTTCAAGCCCAGTCTGTCTGTCTGTCTCTCTCTCTCTCTCTCTCACACACACACACACACACACAGAATACTGATGCTATAGTCTGGATTTTAAATGTCTCCAAAGGGGACATTTAGAGTCTGGTCCCCAGGGTGGTGCTAATGGGAGGTGGCAGAACCTAATGCAAGTAGCTTATAGTCATTGGGGGTATGCCACTGAAGGAGGACCATGGATCTTAGTTCTTTCCTCTACTCCCCCCCCCCCCCGCGCCCATGAGGTGAGCAGTTTTGCTTTACCATTTACTTCCATCATGACATGCTGCCTTGCCACAGGCACAAAGCAATGAGACCAACCAATCATGCACTGGAACCTCCACAATTGAGTTGAAATAACTGTTTTTTTCTTTATAAATTGATTGTTACAGGTTATTTCACTATAGTGACAAAAAAGCAGACTAACAGAATAGGTATCATGTACTTTAAATTTTCCAAGTACTGTTTGAACTTTTTATTATGTACATGCATTACTTGCATTTTATACTAAATTTTAAACAAAATTACATGTTAAGGAAAAAATTACAGATGAGCAAAAAGATGAAGAATCAAGCTGCTAATGTCTAGTATTACTGCTTAATCAGTACCTCAGGCAAAGTCTCTTCCTAAGAACTTTATGTATCTTAGAAAAATTATTCCCAAGAAGTCTTTATGTACTGCTCAACCTAAGTCATCAATTTCAGTCTGAAAGAAATAGTCACAAGAGTCAAGAGGAAGACATCAAGGCCAGACAGTGAACTCTGAGGAAGGTTTGTACAGATCTTTATAGAAATGTTATGGTGTCATATATAAATAGCACGAGGCTGGGGCTAGGAGGAATCAGTGCTGTGACCTACTGCTTCCTTGTCCACCCAAAGTGAAGAGGTCTCCAGCCGACCTATTATATTCCTGCATTATCATAAATTCTGCCTGTAGACCATGTGGTCCCCATCTGGTTTTCTTCTGGGAACTGTCTTCTAACTTGCTCTTTCGTGTTACTATTGTATTTCTGAGATGGAGTTGAGTCTTACTCCACCAACTTTCCACTAGGCAGTTTGTTACTATAATGTACATCTTTATCAGTCCACACCTAATATCTCTGACAGTTTATTTTATTTTAGGTTGTTGTGTTTTGTTTTGGTTGTTATAGATACCGTACCTTTATTTTACTTCTTTATTTATATGTGGTGCTGAAGATCGGACCCAGTGCCTCACACATACTAGGCAAGCCCTCTATCACTGAGCTACAACCCCAGCCCCAGGTTGTTTTTATTAACTTTAAATTTTTTAGTTATTTGTTGAACAAAAACAAAATAATATTTATAAGCAATGTGCAAAGCATAAAATACTAATTTTATTTGCTAAATTTTATGATTACTCACTTCTGTGTTCTAAGAAATCTTTGTCTATTTCAAATCTTAGAGAGGTCATTTTATGTTGTCCCCCCCTTCCGAAACTTTTTGGTTCTAGCACTATGTTTAGGTTTATGATTTATCTTTAATTTTGGTATTGATGGATCAATTTAAGAACTGACACCTTAATGATATCAAGTTGCTTAATCCATGAATATGGTATATCTTTCTATTTATTTAGGTCTTTCAGACTTCTTTCAGCAGTGTTTCATTTTTAGTAAAGTAGTTTTGCATCTTGCTAATTAGATTAATTTTAGGTGACTGTTTTAATTTTACTGCAAATGGTAATTTTAAAAGCTTTCGTTTTTCTAATAATTTTGCGAATATGAAGAATAATAGATTTCTGTATAATGACACTGTATCCTGCAAAATTGTTAAGTTCAATTCTTCCAGTATATTTTTTGGATATTTTATGGAATACTATATACTATACATACACACATCATTTGTGAATAATGACAGCTTTACTTCACGACTTCCAATATTTATGAGTTTTATTTTTGTTTTGCTATTATACTAAAACTTCTAATACAAAGTTCAAGTTATCAATTAAAGTTGTTATTAATTTTATTTAAAAAAAGAAAAGAAAAGCAGTATTCAGTTTCAGTGGAGTTCATTTTCCTTTTCAAACTAGAATTCAGACTCCACCACCTCTTCACTTTGGGTGTTCTAGACCCCCTGCAGGCATTACTGAAAGACAACAGAAAAAAGACTAGATATTAATCAGGTAGTTGACTTCTCTGCCCTAAGTTTATTTTTTTGGTCCTATGTTTTATCTTGTACATCACCTTCTGCTTGTCCAGCTTTTTTGGAGAGGAGAAAACATTAAAATGCTCCAAACTTTCAATTTTTCTTAGTTTTGTTGCCGTTTTTCACTGACTTTCTGGGACTTCTGCATACTTTCTCAGTGTGTGTGTGCATTCCTTATTCTCTCCTAATTCCCATTTATCATGACCTCTCCCTGTTCCTACTATTTAAAGTATACAATTATGATTTTCTGGGTTTTATTAAAATTCATACAAAAGTCTAGTCACTCACTACTATCTCTGTGACCCTTGAAATAACTACATATTTAAAATGTAAAGTTTCCTTTTATAATTTATACCACAATAAAATACAACAATTCGTGATCTGAACTGGAAGCATTTCAGAGGGGATTCAGGCTTATTATTACATTTTAAGAACAGAGGAATGTTTCTGGAAAGAAAATACCAGGATAGTTACAACTTATTATTTTACCTTCTGTCTTGAGGGTACAGAACATGAGAGTGCATTGTGGTTAAGAATCATTAGAGAACTTTGATGCATAAAAAGCTAATGCCTACATGAAGGAGGGGAGGGGACAGAAAAAAGTTGCCAGAATTCACATTTCTGGCCTTTTACGTTCTCAATATCTAAAACTTAATTCTTTTTCTTAAATATTATATTTTGTTTCTAATTTTCTGTAAGCAATAACATAACTGCAACTGCCATTCACCTCCGTGTGCCAGCCACAGTACCCTGATTGTGTTCCTCGTATACAAGAGGCTTACTCCTTCTTCAGAGTGTCTGCACCAGGGCATCTGTACAGTTATTCCTTTTACCTAGAATGTTCTTCCCTCCAGTACATGCAGGACAGGCTCTCTTCTGCCTATCAGGTCTTACTTAATGACCCCACCACAGAGAAGTCTTTTCTGACCAATTGATGCGACGCTGACCTTCTCTGGTCATTCTCTACTTACTTGTGTATGTATTCTATGTAAGTGTGTATTCTTTCCACTTCAGACTTCCAGTGTTTAATTGGTATATAGAATTATCTGAGTAAGCTATGCCCAAATATCCATTACCCTCTTCTGCAGAACTCTAGGCCTAAGCCAGGTCCACCTGCTCAAAACTGCTGTGTCCCTCCCTGCCATGTCTGGATAAAACTGACCCTACTAAGGTAGCCTAAATGATAGGGACAGGGATGGGTAACTGAGCCAAAGGCAATAATGCATGACTAGAACATGCTTGATTAGGAAATCAACTGCTTTGGAACTACTGATTTTCTACTGTAAACTTACTTCTCCTCCCGTTTTCCCAGTTGTTACATCACCAGCTGCTCAACCCCTAAATCAAGGTCATCCTTCATTCCTTCCTCTTCTTTGCCCCACTAACAAGTGATCAGCCCCTGAATACTTATCTACATTACTACTGTCATCTCTTGCTTGGACTGCTGCATATGCCTCTTGTTTTCGCCTCCTTTCTGTTGTCACTCTTGCAAATTAGAATGACTTGTTTCATTAGCAAGACCTGAAGATTTACATATTCATGTTTCATATCTGCAGGCAGAATATAAAATATTCACTTCTAAAAACGTGCTTCAAAATTCATAGTATGAAATTCCAACAAGCTTGTTTTAGAATTTATTCACACCTTCGCTAGGCTGAGAAAGACTATTAACCCAGAAAACTATCATTTATTAATGCATACATTGGGCAGCCCTTCAGGTAGACTATATGGATTCATGGATGAATAACATGGTTAAGACAGGCCAGTGTACCAGCTTACATGTACACCTCTGGCTGTTATTACTTTTGCACCTTAGAATAAGATCCATTTCTTGAATCTTTTAAAACTCACCTGCTAGGGAGTTAGCACTGGAGTTCTGCAGAAGCACACTGGGAGACTCTACAAAAATAAAGAGAGATCCTGTTATGAAAGAACATTTAATATTTAACTAAGAACACTGGCAATGTGTTCTTTTTCTGCCCCTGGGATGTGATGGTGGTGATATGGGGGAGGGTAGAATATTCCACAGGAAGTTCTACTTTTGCCGCTGTTGCTATGAAACATACCTTGAAGCCACCAGTAATTCTGAGATTGTATTATTGGAGCTTTCAAGACAGAAAACATCTAGCTTATGTAACACTTAAACAGTATTTACTATGTACAGCCAATTGGCTTTGCTACAGTTCATTCATCCACATGAAGGCAGAAAGGTGGTGACAAATGAACCAATCTCTGCTACTGACAACTCTGCTCTTCTGAGTGGAGTGGACCATCTCAGGATGGCCCCTTTCTATTCATGGGTGCCTCAAGGTCTTGCATTATCCACATCCTAACTTCACATAATGGAGATGAAGTGGGTAGCATTTTTGCTTCTTACTGAAAGTCTCAGTACGATTCTTTCAATTTTTTAGCCAGTACCTTAAAATTTGAAAAAAAATTTAAGAATTCTATGCCCCAGTTATACGACTTTTCAGACTGGCTTGTCCACCATGAGTATTGTATAATGGAAGATTAAATACATGTACCACAGGGGAAGAGAGCAAGTGCATTACTGTGTAGTCTTCACAAAGATGAACACTCCCACTAAAACAAAACCAAAAAATCCCTCAATGTACAAAGAGAAGTAAGCAACAAGAACTTGGAAATCTTTATAACTTGTGCAAATATCTTTCTCATGCAAATGTCTTCCTCGTGATGAGACTATAATCCATTTATCACAAAAGGATACAGTGTAATATTAAACTCAAAAAAGGTCAAGATCAATGGACTATACCAATGTACTCAGCAGCAAAGTATCAAATAATTGTTAACATCACAAAGTACTTACCTCACACCAGGTTTTGGGTGGATCATGCTACCTGCATTAACCCTCCCCAAAATTCTAAACAGGAATACTGTTTTGCAGTGACAGATACTGAGGCCCAGAGAAGGCCATCCACTTAGATAAGGGGCAGAGTCTGAACCAGGCTGATTTGATTCCAAAGCCAGAACATGAGTGCCAAATAGAACTGTTGATTTTCTACTGTAAACTTACTCCTCCTCCTGTCTTCCCAGTTGTTGCATCACCAGCTGCTCAACCCCTAAATCAAGGTCATCCTTCATTCCTTCCTCTTCTTTGTCCCACTAACAAGTGATCAACCCCTGAATATTTATCTACGTTACCACTGTCATCTTTTGCTTGGACTGCTGCATATGCCTCCTGTTTTCTCCTCCTTTCTGTCATCACTCTTGCAATATGATTTGTTGATGACTTATTTGAACCCATGGCCATTTCCAAGCCACCTCAATCCTTAGACTTTTCAGTTTTAAGAGTTAGTAAAGTCCCTTCTTTCCCCTAATGTTGTTAAAAATGGGTTTCTGTTACTTGTCATCAAGAAAGTAACTAAGAACTTCTGGCCTATTCTGTTAATGCCCTTCAGTGGGTTACCACAATCTATCCATCCTGTTTGCTGATATGCTAACTTGTTCTTCCCTCTATCCAACTCAGGATATTTATAAAACCATGCAGCAGACTGAATATTTTAAAAGTAGAATTTTAACATTTTTATCTTTTCCCAGAACATTCTAGAAATGGCAGTATTGTGGAATACAAACATTACCTACTTTAACAGCCAAAGTCATCCAATGTGACTTAATGGTGAAATGGCTGAAAGTTTGGATTTTGATCTGAAGTAAAAAATGCATTAATTGTTGACTCACTTCTAAACCTCAGTTTACTCACTTGTAAGATGGGATAATACTATGATACTGTGAAAAATCCAATAGGATGATTTATGGCCCTCAATTAGCATAGTGTATGGTATATAGAAAATGTCCAGCAAATATTGTCTATGTACATTTTAGTATGATTGTTAAAAATCGTTATACCTTGTAATGACACTTTATACTGATTACACACGGTATATGAAGACTAGAAGGGCTGATTGATTTTTTGAGAATTCTATTGACCCTTCAGTCTAGTTTCAAGGTAACATTCTAGTTTGCAGAAATGAATTCCAGCTCATGGTGGTAATAACTAGTTCATGAAATCAGTGTTCTACTATAGTAGAACATTCCAAAATTTCCAAATAGCACTAACACCTAGTAACACATTAACAAAACTAAACCGTGTTAAAATAGGGGGAAAAAAACCTGTTTTATGAGGGCAAAAGAAAGAAAAACAAGGACACTCCTAATTAATCAGTTCATTAGAGAAACAGTAAAAACATTTACTTTCACACACACAAACCAACAAATTCTAAAAAACGAAATCCATCTCCTATATTTGTATAAAATTAGCACCATGATAAACCACAAACATGATCTTACTGATTTTTTTTCTTAAAAGATTTCAAAATTAGGTCTGCAAACTCAATTTGTCATAGGTACAACTAAGCAAACAAACAAATTCAGCAAAACAAAAGTTATTTAATTCACCCAGACTATTCCAGCAAAACCAGGTGTTGTGCCATAACCAGTTGGTTATGCAAAATGACTTCCTTATCTCTTGCTTGATAAAACTAATCTAAGGTTAACTATATAGCGGCTGAACAGACTTTAAAACCATGAAATTTGGTTTCTTAAGGCAATTTATCCTAGTTTATTTGATCAATACTCGGTGACTCAACTTCTATAACAGTTGACAAAGGAAAACAGAATTTACACAGCAAATCCCAGCTTCCTGGCCTTATCCAAAAAGTTCTTTTCAAAGACTCCAAAGGGCCAACGTCCTTAAAGGAAACAAAATCCCTTCCACAAAAAAGAAATGTCAACGTTATTTTGTTATGTCCTTACTGACGACCTCGAGGGCTCCTTACGACCCTGCAGCTGTGATCTTAAACGCTGCGCAGCTGACGCGCGAGTTTATGGCATACACTACAAGCCTCACCGGTGCGGGGGGGGGGGGGGAATGGGTATGCTTTTCAAAAACTCCCAACTAGCTACATTAGCCCTGAAGTCTAACTTTTAAATGTCTGGACCTTGAGACTGCAATCCATTTGGATATACTACACAAGAGGAGGATGAAACTCCCGGGAAGGCACTGGAAAGGTTCCCCAAGTAGCTGGTAGACATGTTTCTGCAGGAATCGGTAGACATATTTTTCAACCCACCTAATCTTGTTTACAAACAGAAGCCTCCAATTCTAACCCACATTAACTTCGGGGAAAGGCTATAAACACGAACTGGAGCCCTCCGTTTAAGGGCCGTCCTGGGGATAACTCAACAGGTTATAAGCACCCCTCCCGGGCCTGCCACTGCCGCTTCCCAAACAGGAGAAAGGCCGGACAAAGTTCTGAGCAGGCGGCTCGAGGGCAAGCGGAAGACCTGCCCAAACCTCAGTTTCCCCCAACCCGTCCGGTCTCCACCAGGTCGGCCCCGAGCCTTCGACACGTAGAACTTTGCACAAGCGAGCCCAACTTGGAAACCCACAGCCAGCTACGCGTTTCCTCCCGGGACCGGGTGACTTACCCGCCGGAGCTGAGCTGTCCGCGGCGGCCCCCGGCAGCGCCAGCACCTGCAGCACCCCCAGGAGCAGCGCGGCCCGAACACCTCGCGCGCCGAGTCCCATTGTTCCAAAGCAGGATGCGGCGGCCTCGTGGGTCCCAAACGTGCCGGGAGCCGAGGTAGCGGAGAAAGCGTTTCTTCTGCGCACCCGAGCCCGCCCCACGTCCCCTTCCGCCGCGCACAACTCCACGGCCGCCTCCTGTACCCCGAATGACCAAATAGGGCGCCGGAGCCGGGCCTGAGGGGGCGTCGCGCGCTGCGCGGGGCGGGGCCCTGGGCGTGGCGAGTCTCCTCCCGCCTCCAGGCCGAAAGCACGAGCTGTAGCTTTGCGCTTCTGCAGGGGCCGCGTGGGTCTGGGTGAACTCCGGCGCCGCTTCCTTTCTAGACGCTGAGCGCCCCGGGCTGCGCTCGGCCTGGGAGGAAGGCTTTTGAAGAGTAGTTTTCTGGTGGGGACTCGGGTGCGTGCGGCTCTAATTGACGGGGAAGTTGCAGGCGGGATGATAAAAGTAGGGCTAATGAGAGAAACCTGAGAGGATGGGACTCCCTCAGAAGAGTCCTGGGTGCCAGAGCCCCCTGGGGTGACCCAGCCTAAAGGGGGAAAGCGGATCGACAAATTCGTCGCTTAAGTTCAAACGTAAAATATCCAAGATCGACATGTCCCAGTTGTAGCCCATCTACTCCACCAAAGAAGAATTCGTGCCGAAAGACATTAGTGGAGTGGGTCGTGGGGCTCGTGGAGGAGTTGGTAGCTGTTTACACTGAAGCGCAGCCACCTAGGCCTGGGGCACGTGAGTCTAACCTAGCCCCTTTTCCTCTTGGCATCTGCTGTGTGGTTGTGATGAAATAGCTTGTTGGCGGGTTTTTTTGTTGTTGTTGGGTTTTTTTGTTTTGTTTTGTTTTTGCTAAGTCCTTTAAGCCCTTGGAGCTATCATTTGTCTTGACTCAGTGCTTCTGAAGTCTGCATTTTTGATTCTGCTCAGAACTCTGAAGTATCCTGTGGTTGATGTAGGAGAGGGACAAAGACTGAGTCCTGGTTTGGATGGGAACCCTCAAGTGAAGTGGAAGACAGAAGGATCCAGGGCATTTTAAAGCCCTCAGCGTTCTAAGTATTGCAGATATCTGGAACCTGACCCAGATTGTATGACATAAAGACTAAATTGCACTTAAGTTCCCACAACTTGGTTATGGGAGATAGTACTTTCTTTTTTGGGGGAGGGTACCGAGGATTGAACTCAGGGGCACTCTACCATTAAGCCACATCCCCAGCCCTATTTTGTATTTCAGTTAGAGACAAGGTCTCACTTGACATTCTTAGCGCCTCACTTCTGGTGAGGTTGGCTTTGAACTCCTGATCCTCCTGCCTCAGCCTCAGAGCCACTGGGATTACAGGTGTATGCCACTGTGCCCAGCGAGATAGTACTTTCTGTTCTCGGGCAAATCAGTATAGATGTGAATGATCATAAAGATTACCCAGGGCAATTTATTCTAAATTTACAAAGACTTCCATCTGTAGATTAAACCAGCTAACCTGCAAATACTTCCCAGTATCTTCCATGGCAAAAAGTAAGCACTGCACATTTAGGTGTTGGTTGCTTTATTTCACTGAAAAATCTGGGGGTTCAGTGGATATACAAACTGGGAATCTGGGGTAAATAATTGGTGCTTCCAGATATGAACTGGAAAGTGTGTGATACAGCCTCAATGTTTATATTCCCCACTCCCTAAATTCAAATGTTGAAACTTAACCCTCACGGGGCTGGGGATGTGGCTCAAGTGGTAACCCGCTCGCCTGGCATGCACGGGGCGCTGGGTTCGATCCTCAGCACCACATAAAAATAAAATAAAGACGTTGTGTCCACTGAAAACTGAAAAATAAATATTTAAAAATTCTCTCTTTCTCTCTCTCTCTCTTTAAGAGAAAAAAGGAAAAGAAACCTAACCCTCACAGTGGTGGTATTAAGAGATGGAGGTCTTTAGGAGGTGATTGGACTGTAAGGGCTCCACCATCGTGAGTGGAATTAATGTTCTTATGGGATATAAATTTATTATTATTATTTGCCCCTTTTACCATAAGAGGACACAGTAAGAAGCAATCAAAGAAGCAGAGAGCCTTCACCAATCAGTTAATGTCTTGATTGTCGACTTTCCAGCCTCTAGAACTGTGACAAATTTCTGTTGTTCATAAATTACCTAATGTAAGTTATTTTCTTATAGCAGCAGAAATAGACAAAGACAATATGAAGACAAGATGTCAACTTGACAATATTTCCTGGGACTGACCTTGATGTAAGTCACCTCAGATCTCTTGTCTGATTTTCACACCATGGTGTGAGTGTGCGTGCCCAGCAGCTTTGCTTTGATGACAGCCTATAATCTCACCAAACTACTCAAAATTTCCAAACATGCTAGAGTCTTCTACAGCTTTGTATCTATGCTCCTGTTCTTCCTGTGAAGGAAGTGTGAAAGTTGTGCGAATCAAAATGGAATCCCTTGTGTCAACCCCTCCAAAGGAAATAAATAAATAAATAAATAAACTGGGAAGTTAAAAAGAAAGGATTCTTACCAAAGATTTCCTGATAGTAACTATCAAAAAGGTGGCCAGAACCACATGCTTGCACAGAGGCCACAACTTTATACAGATATACTTCTACGAGGACATCTGTCTAGCAACTTATCTCTTCAACCTTAAATGAATGCCACTCTTGTTATTAATCTTGTGGCCAAGAATTATTGTTTCAAAATGTGTGATGTAATTCTTTTTATTTTTGTCCTTAAAAATTTCCCATTTCAACCTCTTGAATAGGCCTATAGTTCACTATGGCGCTTTTTTTTTTTTTTAGGTAGATGTTCCATTTGCACAAGATAACCTTCTGATCTTTTATCCTGTGATTTTCATTCTTCTCTCAAGATTCCCTTCACATTTTATGCCCCCTCCCACACACACACTATCTAGAAGATCTTAGTGATCTGATTCCTCTGCTCATCTTTTGATCAGCTTGGTCTCCCCACTTCTGCATTTGTTCCTTAAAATCTGTTCTTCATAGATTAGCCAATATGATTATTTTAAAATATGTCAGATCATGCTGTTCACCAGCTGCCTAACTGAATCCAAAATCATGGCCTGTGAGGCCTGACCTGACATGGTTCTTGGCTGCCTTTCCCACCTCATTTTCACTTTCTCTCCCTTCACTTACTCAGTTCTGTCTCTTTGCAATACTCAAAATTACCAAGGCAATTCCTATCCCAGAGCCTTTGCTATTGCTGCCTCATATCATTATCATTTAGGCCTCTGCTCATCTCTAATCTCAGAAAACCTTTCATGGATACCCTAGCTCACAGTTTTACTTGTCTTTGTAGCTAGATAGCACTATCCATCATTAGGCCCAATTATATGTTCACCGTTTTTTTCTTTCCTACAAGTATATAAGTTCCATGAGAACAAAAGACTTTGAATATATATATTCAAATCCAGCTCCTGTCATGTGTTGATACAGTTTGTGGGCACTTGTCAAATTTAGAATTGCCCATCATCTTTTGGCTACCTTTCTTTTATTTAGAACTCAAAGTCCTATCCTTCCTTGCAACTGGGTACAAGAATGTTACTTAGATTCTACCAGTCAGGCATATTCATGTGAAACTTAAAATTTGGGTATAAATAACCAGAAGAAACAGTCTCTGGGGCTTTCAGTTTTATTGGTATAAATCAAGCATAAGTAACTGGCTTTACTGGTTTTCAGTGGCTGCAAAATTTTGTTTTTGATGCAGAAGTGGCATTAATCTAGAGCTGCAACAGAGACTCATTGAGCTAGTTCTGCCATGGTTTTGTTTATTATTCCTGGAGGCTTAGCCTCAGTTCTGAATCAGTTCCAACAGTCCTGCATTAGAACCTGCTGCATTAGAAAGAATCAGCAGCTTTTGATTCCCACAATCAAGGATCCTTACTACATATGATTGTGAGTCTTTTTCCCCTTAGCAGGCTACAATCTCTGAGATTATTTACTAGATACTTTCTGGATGTTTGTTGGGCTGATCTCACACAGTTTATAGTCTGGTGGCAAAATAAATACATAGACAAATATAGAAGAGTATGGTAAGTGCTATGGTGTAATAATAAGAAAGCTCACATTGTCCTCTCTGGAAACCTAATACATTTCCCATCAAATAGAAGGCATTCAATTTATGGAATAAGTTTTGGGTGGAGATAAAAAGCAGGAAAGCTCTGATACCCTGCCACTTCAATGGTGGTGTTCTTTTTTTTTTGTCCATCTTGTATTTCCTGTATGTCTGTGTCTTTGACTTAGAGTCACCTGAAGGTGGCTCCATTGGAACCATCATTTATTCAATCAGTCAATAATTAAAAATTAACTGAACACATGATATGTACCAAGCACTATGCTAGATGCTGCAAAACAACAATAAAGAACACAGATCTCCTGGCTCATTCAAGAGACCCCACTGAGTGGTTTAAAAGTGAGTGAGTCTCTGCTCATGGACACAGAAGGTGAAATGGTGGTTGCCAAAGGGTTAGGTAGGGGAGAATGGAAATTATTTAATATGTAGAGTTTTAATTTTGCAAAATAAAAGTAATTATGGAGATGGCTGATGGTGATGATTATACAACAATGTAAATATACTTTACTCAACTGTACATTCAAAAATAGTTAAGATGGGAAATGTTATTATAACTATTTACCATAATTTAAAAAAATCTCCCCAGTAAGTTTAGAAATATTGATAAAGGAGAAAGGTGAGTTGGTTTCCACATGGGAGTAACAGAAGCTGCTTTTGTTATACAAAAGATAATCCAAAAGATAAAATGACTTCATGTTTTCCTGGTGAAACTTGTTTAAAACCCACAGTAAATTTTTATTCACTGAAAAAGAAACAGGTGATAGATGAAGGTTCATCTGGTTTGCTGTCTACAGACCTTCTACGAACAAATCAGACTTTTTGATAAATCAGTATTTTCATGAGGAAAGAATCAGAATCTGCCTGGCTTTGTGGTGGAGATAGCTGCAAATTAGGCACTGCTGTGGAAAGATTTAACAAAAGAGTGTAAATTGGCCTGTGTCCATTTCTCTGTTTCTGCCAATTTTCTGTCAACTTCCATTTTAGCAGATTGACAACACATTATAAACTATGATTAAGTCCTCACAATGAAAGCTGATTGGTGGGTTTCTTCCCCCTTCCAGTACCTTGCTTCCTTTCATCTGCATTCTAGACCCCTATATTTCTTGTGTTTTTTTCCTTACCTCTCCTTTTAGTTTTCCCTTCTTGCCTCTTTCTTCAAACTATAGCCAGAGTATGAATCTTGTTAATTAATCAAAAAGAATTTACTGGGTATCTATTCTGTGTAGGATTCTAGATTGACACAAGAGTAAAGGTAGAAATAAAATGAGCAAAAGGCAAGTGAAGGTAAAAATAAGACAATAAGCAGAGAACAATGAAGTCCTACACAATTAGATTTTCCTTTTGAAATAAGGAGATCAGAAAAGAAAGTTCTGGGTGGAAGACTGAAGTTTTAAAGGGCTGATTTCTCAAAAAGGGAGTGGGGAGCTGAGTTAGAATCCAAAGGATTTGCCTGGTTGGGAGGTGGTGGTGGTTCTAGGCAGGATTATGCCCTGCTATAAGGACAATAGGAAGAGAAGAGATCAGAGTTCACAAGTTTCAACTTGGGTGAGCATAGGGAAGCCTCATGGTCCTTCCCCTTGTTAAGACCCCAGTTATTTATCTGCTCTTCCTTTGACTCCTTTTGTTTCTTCTGTACTGGAGGCAAAAGGGACTCAGCCTATTTTTCTTTCCTATTTAAAGTCACTGCCACTTATCCCATCCTTTGGTGTTCTTATTTCTTCAGCCTACACATGGAGTTCATTGCAAGTCCTCAGCCTTTCTTCCTTGCTGCCTCTGAACATAAACACTTTGCATAACAAGGATTTCATTGCTACTCATGACAGAGAAGCTGGCAAAAGATAAAATAACTATTGTAGGGAAGTTTAAATTAAAAAAGAAAAAGAAAGAAAGTTGATATAGTCTTAGTCCCAGCTCAGTATTTCCTGTCTCATCTGGAAAGTGGAGCAATAGGATTTACCATTCACTCAAAAAAGTTTGAGCAGCTGATTTATATTTTTTTAAAAAGGTGGTACCAGTTGCTATAGAAAGGACCAAAGGTAGAAATAGGGAGAGCAGTGAGGAGGCTATTGTTTGGAGGCTTGAAGTAGAATAGAAGTAGTGAAAACAGAAGAAATTAATGTATTTGTGATGTGGATTGAGAGTAAAGTGAATTGGATATGGTGATTGAGGGAAAGAGAATTAAGACTGACTCCTTGTGGCTCGAGTGGCTGGTCCTTAGCTCGACATCCCACATCCTGAAATATTCACACTTTAAATTTTGTCCTACTGTCTTCCTTTCTGAGAGCTTGTTTGGGGGTTCTAGCAGGGGAGAGCAGCTATTTGTATACCCTTGAACAAAGCACGGTCCTCCTCTACACCGGAAACGTCGTCCTCTTCTACAGAGTGCATTGCTTTAGGAGGGACACACATGAGTGGTGAGGGAGGAAGGGGACACCTGCCTTCCCAACCAGATCAGCCAAACCAACCCTGGTGATCAGTGGGGTGACAGATGTTGTAGCCAGATTGCCCTCACATCCCTCCTGTCATTTCTAAATTTCCTATATCACCCTCCATCAGAAATGCATACAGAGGTAGGCAACCTCAAATAGTTTTAGTGATCACATGTTGGTATGTACCTGGGATCAAGAGGGAACTACACAAAAGACATTACCTAAGTCTACTATCGGATATCCAATACTGCACTTTGAGTACCACTGAACTGAAGGAAGAAACCAGACAATAGTTAAATAGACAAAACTGGTTTTGGAGAGTCATATAGTGTTGGGGAAATTAATCCAGCAAAAGGACCTTGTGTACCAATGAATACGATAAGAATTGGTAATGGGCCCCAATTAAGGTTTTTTTCCTTCGCATGTAAAGGCCACTCTATGAAAATAATCAGAAACATTCCAAACATTCTAGCCAAGCCTTTGTTTGAGCTTTGGGAAAATAGAAGTGGGGGCTGACCTGAATGGAGGTTACAGGAAAGTTCAAACCCAAGGGCTATAAAGATTCAATTAATTAGAAGGTCACAGTCTGAACCAATAGCATTGATACTTTTCAAGTAACTGTTTAGCACAGATGGTGACAAAGTACTAACTTCGGTACTTTCCTAAGACCTGATTAGCATGGATATTGATCAAAGCCCCTACTCAGGACCTATATAAACCCATAGACTACTACACTGAGGGGAACCCCTACTGCATCTCCTCTCAAGCTGTGGAAATTCTATCTCTTTTCTTCTCACTTAAATAAATCTTACTCTATTGGGAGCCGTGTGTGAACTACATGTGAACTATTGCAATGTTCAAGCCATTAAGGCAGAGAAGCTGCTCTTCTGGGAACTCCTGGGTGAAATTCCCTGTTGCAGAAAGCCCAGATCATGCTGACACCCTGACCTAGTTCACAGCTCCACGTTCAAACACAGCTGCTGGAGGTGTGTGTGACCTGCCAAGCACAAACAACCTGTTTATCTCCACTCTCATCCTGTTACCCCTGAAGAAGATCCCTATAGATCCCCTTTGGTCTGTACCGCTATAAATAAAGCAAGCTCTGGCTTTTTCTTTGTTACAAGTCAGATTTCTCTGGTCACTCAACCTGTCACTCCCCTGCCTAAAAAATATAGAATTCTTGCCTTTTGTCTTTATTTCTTGATATGTTACTTTCATATCTTATTTTGTAGCCAGCCCATCCTTCAGATGGTTACATCCCTGGCCCACTCGGGATGAAGTGAAAGGAGATTACTTCTTTCACTCTTGACTTCTGTTTTTTTGTCTGTGGATTTCCTTTTTGGAATTTGCAAGAACCTGGAAAGAAATTGGCAGTGAGCTGCTAGGGTCTGCCATTAAGTGCTGCAACATGCTGCTGGGTAGTAGCAGAGAAGAATAGAGAAGAACCAGCTTTGCTGGTTGCAACCCTTGATCCTCAGAGTTTATGCCAGCAGGCCTCCCTTGCTGTGATTAGCTGCTAATGCCAAAACAGGTTTTCTTGGCTACAGAGGTCTGCAGTTTATTCAGACCCCACCTGCCGGCAGAAGCAGAGAATCAAGTTTCATCTCAAACTTGGGTTTCACCAATATAGAAGAGAGAGAACATAATTTAAGTTAGGTAAGCATTATTAGGTAACAGAAATGTGATGACAAAGTCTGAAATTTTCATACAAATTTATAAAGAAAAATTGGAAACAACAATAAAAACTTCTTTTAACTAAATTACAAGAGCTTGTATTTTGTGATTATTTCATACTTATAAGAGATTTTTAAGCAAATCAGAGGAAAGTGTTTATAGTTTAAAGGGTCATTGTAAAATCAAAAGGTCAGGCCAGTTTTATTAGGCCTATTATGTTCTCAAAGTGACACCTTAAAGAGAGGTAGGTGGGTAGACGGTGGTCTCCCTTTTGAAAGAAAATTCATCATTTTACCCTTACAGTGACACATGTTTTTCCAAAGATCTTTAATGTAATCAATCCCAAAGAAATATTGAGAATTCTATCATTAAGTGTAATGAGAATAAAAGGAATGATGCTACATCAGGAGCATCTGTGGTCTCCTACCAACTCCTCTTTGGGGCCTTAACTCCTGTGTCTCTGTCTAAGAGAAGGGCTGAGTGTGCTGTCACCCTTCCTGGGTGTTTATGGTGCAGAATCAAAGATGGAAGAGAAAAGGGCTGAGTTGAAAAAATAAAAACAAATGCCAAAATGATGCAAAGGGCGCTGATTAAGTAGCAGGAAGGTAGGAGTAGTAGAAGGTGAAGGAAAGAGGAAGAAAAGCAAAACCAAGACTCACAAGGAATCATTTTGAGAGAGATTTGTGGATGGAAATGTCAAAATTGGGACTTTAAATCCACTGTGGACTTGAGACATACTGAAGCAAGAGAAATGGGGTGGGGGAGAAGAATCCGGACAAGGAGGTTTTAAGAAATATCACTACAGGTTACAAGTTGATTCCCCTTAACATTCTTCAAACATGGAAGTAAGACTCAAATGGCTTTTAAATTTTTTATTTTTTAAAACCATGGTACTAGGCATTGAACCCAGGGTCTTGCACACATTAAGCAAGTACTCTACTGCTGAGCTACACTCTCCATCCCTATGTACCTTTGATGAGTGAACCAAGTATCCTGGAAGGTGAAACCCTGCCAAGATGGGGCCCCCCATGGAGACTCTGAGATGTGTTTTAAAATAATATGAAATTGGTAAAAAAAATTACTCAAAAGTTCTTTACTGAGCACTTACTGTGTTTGTAGCATTGTATAAAGCGTGAAAGAAGAAATAAAATAGTTTAATGTATGGCCATGTTCTTGACACTCTCATATTTAGATAAATGATACATTTCCATGCAGACAGGTATAATAATATACTACCAAAATAGATGCCACAAGATGATGAGGGCTGTAAATTGGCAAGAAGGAGCACTAATTAAATGTATTTGGGTACTTTCCTAGACTTTAATATATACTTGTCTTTAGTTTATTTTTGAACTCAACCTGAAAATTGAAATAATTTTCTTAATTTTTAATATTCTATAATTCTATTCATTTGTACTACACAAAACCATCAACGCCTCCTCCACCTGGAAAAAAAAAAGACTAGAAAAAATCATTTATCTGGTTGATTTTTTTTCTTTATTTCCCCTTTCCCATTATTCTGAATTTTCTAATTTCTCTAAAATGATTATGTATTTTAAAAAAATTTTATGTACTTTGTGTAGTGGGGATTGAACCCAGGGGTGCGTATAGCTGAACTACATCCCCAGCATTGTTTATTCGCTTATTTTGAGATAGGGTCTTGCTAAATTGTTTAGGGCCTTGCTAAGTTGCTGAGGTTAGCCTCAAACTTGCAAACCTCCTACATCAGCCTTCTGAGTTGATGGGATTATAGGCAGATGCCTCTATACTCAGCTATGAATTGCATTTCAATGAATTCTTTCAGAAAACTTTATTTTGGAATTGTATGTCAAATGACAAGAACAACAACACCAACAATAATAAAAGTTTTCATGACTATTCTACAATTAAATATTAGGTTGAATATAATATTTAATTTTCTTTTAAAGTTCTGGCCTGAGCAGGGGAAAAAACCAAAAAGAAATAAAATGTCCTCCATGATGGAGAAAAAAATCCAAATTTATTCACTATTCAATTCAAATACAGATGTGAGATATGTTTCGTTTGTTCACAGTATTTACCAACATGGCATTTAGAATTTAAAAATAAAAATGTTTTACTAGTTGCTAATATTGAAGATGGGACTACTGATATAAAAATTCTGATTTCTATTTCTTTTGAAACATTGAAAGATCTGGTCATACCTGACCTATCTTGTCAGCTGGAGTTGTGGAATACCGTTGCTTTCTTTACGTAGTACATGAATGCTCCCCACAGTCCCTCTGGCTCTTATGGTTTTATTCCCAGTTGGCCTCATTAAGTTCTGATACTTGCGCTTGAATTTGTGGCCCCTAGCATAGAATAAGGATCTGGTGAATTGCTTCTGAGAGTCTTGTTCCTGGGTTGTCATTTTTTTTTTGTTTGTTTTAAGTGTTAAAGATTTTTTTTTCTTTTAGCTCCTTTCTTACCTCATCTACAATATGTCACTATTCCATGCTACTACATAAGGTTTCAGAGTTCTGTAACTAACACACATATGAGTGAATATTTTTGTGGCATAGAGTTCCAAGGAATCCTTAAGAGATTTTGTGCATGAATTTTCTGAAGTTGGATTAGTTTCCTAGAATATTGAAATGTTTTATAACTTTTAAGACCTCTACTAATTTTATTTATTTAATTTTTATTTTTAAAAAAGTCAAAGTATTACATCAGTGTTGAAAAAATTTAAACAAACCAGATGTGGTGCTGGGAGATTGAAAAATTCGAGGTCAGACTGGTGGCTTTGTGAGATACTGTATCAAAATAAAAAGGGCTGGGGATGTACTTCAGTGGCAAAGCACCTCTGGGTTCAATCCCTATTACCACCACCACCATCAACAAACCCATCACACGTACATAGATACATAAATATACAGGAAGTAAATAGGACAAATGTTTTTCCTATTTTGTCTCCCAAGCGTAATCACAGTTAGAACTTGGTATTTTTCTTTGCAGACCTTTGTTTTTGCTTGTATGTTTTAGTTTTGTTTTTGCACTGTTATATAAAAATTTGGGAGCTGGGAGTGAAGCCCAGTGGCAGAGCATGTACTTAGCATGCTTGAGGCCCTGAGTTCAATTCCCCACCCCCTAAAAAAGATTATATATTTATATGAATATAGAGGTATAGATTATATTTGTTTTTCCCCAATAAGGGGATCATACTACACCTAATGCCTTGCAAACTTTTAATTTGGCAATGTCATAACCATTTTTCCATGTAAGTACAAATAGATTTGCTTTGTTATGATGCCTACATAGCCTACTTTA